TCAGTGTGCTCATCTTCAATAATTCAGCACTTCATAGTTCACCATGCTTTCTTACAGACCACCAAGCGTCTTGATATCACTCTCTCAATGAGAGCCAGAGACTTGATGTCTTGATATTTGGGGGAAATGGTGAAAAATAACAGTAACCCCATAAGGGAGGCAACTCAATTTGTGGCCTGTTGAGTCATCACCATTCTGTGAGCCTGAGTGCAGGAAATCAAGATTGATGGTTAGGCCGGTTAAAACAAGAGCCACTTTGGATCCTCAAGGCCAAGTCTGAGAGGGGCCAGGGCATGAACAATCACAGCTCTGCCGTCCTTTAGCATATAAGTTACTTCTGAGCCCAAGGATGAGAGCCAGCTAAGCAAACATTTCCAAAGAATTGGGACACATGCAGCAACTGAATTTGAAATCACTGTACGGCTATTACCCATCCCCCCATCCTTTCCGGAGTCAGAATCTTGAGGTTAGAAAAGAACCTTCTAGATCTAGTCCAGGGGTTGTAAACTAATAGACCACAGACCAAATAGCCACATATGTCCTATTTGCCTCCCATGTAACCTATTTGAATCACCTAATATTTAAAAATATGAAGATTTGGCATAAAAATTGATTTTGCTCATCTTAAGAAACAAATATCTGGGTACAATATGTCTTTAGAATAAAAATCAGCCAAGGCCTAGTACAGTGGTCAGCAAACCGTGGCTCGTGAGTTCTGGTTTGCCGCTGTTGACTAATGAGTTTGTCGACCACTGGGATAGGGGCTTAATCATAAGGAAAAACAGCCTGTAATTATTGGAATCGAGAGTCTAGGTCAGTGGTCGGCAAACTCATTAGTCAAACTCATTAGTTCTCAATCCGACTTCACTGGTCTTTGGTGAGTACTGTTGATCTTTCCCTTGAGAATTTGAGTCACAGGGACACTACCTGCATGTAGGCACTATGGCAAGGAGACACAGAACTGAGAACTAGGTCTTCTGCTTTTGTACTGAGTCCCCCGCATTCCCTATGCTGGGCCAGAAATCCCGAGGGGCTGCAATCCACTAGGGAAGGTCAAACTAGCCAGAAACTCAAAGTCCCAGCATTCCTCAGGCTGCTGAGCACACCCACAGTCCAAACTATCTGTGCTCTTCATACAAAGCACTGCACATTCTCAGCCTCCACAGATGCCCTCAGACCCAGCTGGGTTATGACCAAACATGAGGCTTTATCCTTTGTTAATGGCCTTTTCCCTACCCACACAGGCAGTTGGGGAACAATAGGCTCCATGGGACACTGACTTGGGGGAGAGGTCACAGAGAACAGTTACAGATGACAGGAGGTCAGTAGGAGTGAACTCTCTTCCTGGCTTTCTTCCCAAGTGTCAAATGGCTGTGGCTGTGGCCGTCAATACATTGCTCTTAAAAAGTGCGGACTCTGTTCAGATTGACATAGTCTCACACAAAGGATGCCCTAGCTATGCTCCCTTTGAGTGTAGTGACATTGATTTGTAAAAATCTTTGATATCTTCAGTTTAAATGGCCAACAACACACAATATCATAGCTTCACTATTCCTCAGGTCCGGGAATATCTTACCTGAAACTTTCCAAGGAGATATTTGGTTCCTTTTATATCTAGGAGATGCCAATAGCCAAACTATGGTCTGTGCAACTGCATGAGGAATAGAATAGTAACAGGGAACCATTCACATGAGATCATACTCTATAAAGGTAGTGGGAATACAAAATCAAGATTGTCTTATTTAAGGAGGAGAACAGAAAGCAGGTAGCAATTGAACTGAACTGGAGAGGGCAAGGCTGAATAGCCGAACAGGTTCTGAGTAGGAGAATCTGACTTGTATAAAGAACCTAAAATAAATACACTGTCAAAGGACAAGTGTTCAAACATGCACAATGTCAATGGCAGCTGAAGCCAAAGAACCTGCCCAGGTCTGCCTTTGCCCTGCCACAGGTCCTGGAGCAACCCCTTTATGTTCTCCTGAAGATGGCTACTGCCAGGAATCAGTAAGTATGAAGCCAAATCCTCCTTTATGCTTCCCTCTGGGCATTGCATTTAAAAATTCCCCAGAGCCTGTATCTGGCATAAATTAAGGTGTTACAGCAAGTTCCAAGATTCATCAAAACCCAAGCCACATATCCATTCTGTTTGAGTTTATTGATCCTGGCCATTGTATGGCCTCCTGGGAGCACAAATGAAGTATCAGGCTGTTAGCTATGGTCAAAGAGGACTTGTTTCTTACCTCTTGGATAAGGAAATTTATTCTCATCGAGGCCAAGGAGATTCTTCTAGATGCATCATTTACATCTAATACTTTCACCGCCTATGGAATATAAAGTAATTATATTCTCTCAGAACTAAATGATGATGACAATAATCACTCCATGAGAAAGATTTTTACAGGTGCTTTTTCTCTTTTAACCCCAACCCCCTCACAAGCTGAGTCTGTTGGTGTCATCAATGACATTTAGCAGGAACTCAGGAAACAGACTAGGCTCTAGAAATATATAATAGAAGAAAAAGGGGAAAAACGCACAGAGAGAAAAGCAACCAGTCTCTCACATTTGGGGACATGGATGCAGAATTAGAGCTAAGAGCCCTTTCACAACAGGCATGAACTTTCCAGCTCAGTACTAAACCAGACTTGAGCGGTAAGACCAGGAAACCCTTGGGAAGACACTCTTGTAATGGCTTTGTCATTAATACACAGGATTCTGATATCTCCATTCAATGAGCCAAGGATAATAATTTGGTTCTAAATAAGGCTGTTGTAACCAAGAAAAGACCCAAACCTTCCTAATGCAGCTCTGGTCACTCAATTCAAAACCATGCAGTCCTTAGATACTGGGTTTTCATGAGGAGGAACCATCAGCCATTCCAACATGGCAGCGAGTAAAGGAGGAATCATCATCACGTACATGATGGTTTGCAAAAAAGTGACTCGGAAGAGCTTGTCAATATGATGTGGTCAGTAGTACTCATTATCCCATCATGCCTGCAAATTTAACCATTTAGTTATTCCTTTTCCTTCCTGCTTGAAGCTACTGGCTCCTTGGCTATTAAGGCTGGAGTCTAAATGAAGGCTGTCATAGGACTAAGCTCCTCTCTCCCCCACTATGTTTTTTCATTTTAAATCTCTGCCCCAGAGTTTCACTTCCCTGTGTGATGGAGTTAAAAGTGTCTCACAGGAAGTGAACAGATCTCCCAATGATAACAACTATACACTCTTGACAAAATAAAATTAAATAAATAAATAAATAAATAAATAACTACCGGAAGGCATTGATGACTAAACAAAAAATCAGGTGAATTTTGGAGATGTCAAAACTTCAAAGAAGGAAATGGCACAAGATGAATTTCCATTTTTATGGCTTTTAGGCTGATAGGCTGTTTGAAGAATCAGAGCAACCAAAGCTCCTAAAAGGAGGGGAGAAACCTCAGAAGAAAGAGTCAAAGAAAGAGAACACCAAATTCTGTGCATAGACTGCCCACATCTCTGGTTGACCCCTAAACCATACGTGTGTGGGAAAGACTCCAGCTTAAAGTAAAAATAAAATGAATTGAGATTTGAGCTGCTGCCCAAGACAGTTTACAGGTTGAGTCCAATGAAACTAAATCCCTGCTAACAAACATCAGTACTCTTCACAGAAATACAACAAAATGCACAACGTAATCATGATACAGAGAAATATGAAGCAGTAACCCACCGTTACTGGTGTTCTGGTGACAAGTAAGATGCTAATTATAAAATAACTCTTATTCAAAAGTATCGAATACTTCTCAGTTGGAGATGTTTGTTTCAAATGACTTTTTAAAAATATATATTATATTGAATTTTTACAGAGAGGGATAGAGTTAGAAACATCGATGAGAGAGAAACATTGATCAGTTACTTCCTGCATATTTCCTACTGGGGATGTGCCCGCAACCAAGGTACATGCCCTACCTTGACTAGATTCGAACCTGGGACCTTTCAATCTGCAAGCCAACACTCTATCCACTGAACCAAACCAATTATGGCTCAAATGACTTTTATTTGTGTCAAAACTAAATTGAAAACTGCTTACTGGCAGGATAGGTAGTGTTGCTCGTTGGTAAACTTGACTGAAGAGAGAATTTAGGAAAGCTCAGGTGGAGAGGTTTTGTTGTAGAGGTATCTTCACTTGGTGGGATGTAAAGGACAGAGCTTCACAGTCTGTGATTCCTAATATTCAACTAGGCCTGCTACTAGTTCTTATAGGGATCTTTTATTTTATTTTCTTTCCCAGAAGGTGGAACACATGCTATGAAATGTTCTGCCAGACCTGTAAAGGAGGCAACATACAGAACATAGAAAGTGTTTTTATGAGAAAAGTGATGTTCATGCAGAAAGCTTAAAGAGCATCAGAGCCTTGTCTTCCGAAGTGATTCCAAGATGGAATTACTAAACGGAAATATTTGGAAGAGATAATTCTAAGTCCATTTTGGGTTTCACACTGGTTCTTCTCTCCTATGTTTACTGAATTCTACATCTTGTGAGACTACATTTCAGAAACAGAGCCAGCTTTCCAACCCCAAAGATTCTGGTACTCTCAAAAGCAGGATATGATTTAAAAAAAAAAAAAAGGCACAAATTGGTTCCTGTGTGTGGTGGTGGAGAGAAAGGACACAACTCACAAAAGTGATAAAAGCAAAAGCAATAGTAAAAAAAGGTTGCCAACAAGCCTGGTTTTTAGTTTTGGAAATGGAGGTGATAGTTACTCTAAGGGCAAGCAGTATGATTACTTAATTCAACAAAAACAAACTGTCCAAACTAAGAGAATGGAAGAGTGTTCTTAGCAGTCTTGCAATGTGCACCAACTAAACTGGTTTCAAGTGTGAAAATGGTTCAATGACTCTTTGAACTAAGACCCAATCAGCAACATAGAAAAACCCAGCAGACTAACTATCATAGATTTTCTACTATAAAGCTGACCACCACATCATCCAACGATGTAAAATTCTAGAAACTTTACAAAATTTCTCTTTTTAAAATTTATTTTTTGTTATCAAAGAGAATGGCCAGAAACATTGAGTACTAAAGAATCTGTTCATGGCATCGTTTTACAAAAGTTCCTAATGGAATGAGAATATTTTATTTCAATGTATCTCCTTCATTTATTAAAGATGAGGTGGATGAACTGATGCAATTAATTAAAAAAAAAAATTCCAGACAAGAACATCCATTCTCATTCTGAATCTGCTGACTGGAGTGAATTCAGTGGATGCAATACCACCACTGACTAAGAATCCACCTCCCAGCAGTGGGGAGCTGTTCAAGTCTTCTCATCAGGTCTCTCAGAGATAGGCACCATGTTTGAAGTCTCACACAAATGTCTGTGTCACTTAAATTACAATGTGGCAGTGTTTTTCTCATGGAGACATAATCTTGAAAGAAGAAGCAAAGTCGAAAACCACCTGCTTGCATGTTATATGTGAGTACATTATTGGACTGTGCAGGGGTTTTGGGCATTGTAGCCCTTGTTAAAGAGAAATTCCACCAACAAAACATCTGTCAGTTCTCAGCTGCTCCTGATGCTGAGGGTGTCTACTTATTTAACCGCGTGTTGTTAGGACGGGGCTTTCTTCATCTACTGTTTGGCTCAAATAGTTTGAACCGAGTTTAGTTGTCCTTTTCCTTCATCTTAAGCTTTATTTCTCGGCCTCAGGATATGTGGGGTACTGGACTGTCTCTATCTTCTCTTGTACTTTGTAGGAGGGATATAAGCCCGTCCTTCCCAGTTTCCTGTTGACACCTTTAGAATAGCCATCCCAGTGATTTCCAGCCACACCGATGATGTCTCCAGGTTCCATGGGAATTTCCTCTGCAGTTCGAGGCTCGTGAGAATAAATGGCAATCTGGTTGTGGGCATTTTGGCCCCCAAAATAGTAGATGTCATCCAAAGAATGGAAGTTTGCAGAGGCATCAGGATGCAGTGTTTGCATGATTTCATAAGCGACTCGGCAGACCTTGGGAAATAATTTTTAAAAAATTGTTAGTATATGTAAGATTCCCTTCAGAACAATCTAAAATCCTGAGCCAAAGACACCAGAACTAGACTAGGACTAGAACTGAGAGAATGAGAAGTAGTGGATTCTAGTCACAAGTTTCCAGTCCATTTCTCTCAAGTGATGATATAGCATATAGCATAAGTCATTCTGCATTCTGCGCTTGCATCTGTGGTTTCTTTGTTTTTTAACATAAAATATTACAAATAAGGTCTCTGGGAGAAAAAACATATAATGCAAAGTACTTTAAGAATATGATTCAGATAATTTTAATAAACATTCATTAAGAACCACATAGTACTCCATGTTGGACACTGGTGGTATAAAATGAGTAAGACATAGTTTGTGCCCTTGAAGACTTTAAGGTTAGGATTAGGATTATAAATACTTTACAAAAATGCTGCTGCTCCCTTTCCTTCATTCACTGTTAATCAATCACATACTCTTTTCTGCTAATTTGAACTTGACCTCAGGACTCTTTTCAATAGAAATTCATGTAATTACTGACAATCTATAAGCACTGGCAAGTGAGCAAAACGTATCTACCATTTCAATTCTAAAGAGTTTAAATGTGCTGGGTAGGTAGTAGCATTCTAGCCTTTGGGGAAGATGCATCTATCTGATGCATTTAAGGCTACTTAAAAGGTTTCTGTCCAAAAAATACTATTATGCCCACTGAATGGATGTCAGCTGAAATTCCACAACCTGAGCATCATTCATTGATCATTCAATGCTTGGTGATTAAGTTAAACTGTAACTATCTTCATGGAAATATAACATTTTAAACAATTAATAAATGCATTTATTATAGCATAAATAGGTTGCAGAAACTCTTCTAAGAATAGTGAAGAAATAAGAGAGAATGCTATCATTTTGCTTAGAAAATTCTTCCAATATGCATTGTGGACAGAGAACTCAACTCATGTCAAATTTTCTTAAATCTCCAGTTGTAGTTATCTCAGTTAGTGAAGTTTTATTGTCCCTGTACCAATAGTCATAGAACTAGACACAGAACCAGGAAAATGGCTTTCCATTCGAACCTGCTACTTCATCAACAAACTAATTTTATATTGGGAATGTTATGGTACAATTGAAAACACTGGTAGAATACTAAGACAAATAAGGCTAAAAAGATTTGGAACTTAAACTTTAAATTCAGCCAAAGGCCCACAGGGGACAAGCAAAATCAAGAGAAGTCTGTGGAAAGGAAAAAATTAAAAAATTAAAACAAAGCAGCTCTAATAATAGCAAAGTACAAAAACAATAATAGAGGCTAATGTTTACTGAGTTTTTGCTGTCAGCTAGTGTTTTTAGGTATTTTCTAATTTAATCCCCTCAATAGCCCTATACAATTCTATCGTTTATTTTACAGATGTCAAAGTTCAATTAAAAAAATTTCCCAAGGTTACACTATTATTAAGTGTTAGATTCAGGTTTTGAACACAGGCTATCTGTGTATGCTACTTAACTGCTAAGCATATTTTCTCTTATAGATGCTGTTCTCCATGTTTGGACTGTAACATCAAAAAGATAAAACATAAGGCCAGGCTGGCCTTGGGCAAATCTGAGAGTCTTCTTTTCAGGGCCTGTCCAGGCACTCTTCAATCATCTTTACCCACAAATGCATGACCTTGTATTGACTGATCTTGGGATGACCACAAGGCCCACTGTGGCAATGAACCCTAATGTACTTCCTCCTTTCCACCATTAAATATCCCAGTCATAAAAACAACATTACCCTCAGTCCCATATCCTGAAGCCTTCTTTTGGGGGAATAATCCTATTATCAGTTTATTTTCTGTAACAATAATTGTTGATATGTTAGTCTGCTGGATGACATGTATTTTCTTAAGCCAAAGTGATAACGAACGGTAGAAATTTCAGACACCAAGAAGAAGCAATTTAAGACTCTTTTTCCTTGTCATATTGGTGAAAATCATCGCAGCTGAGGTTAATGAGTACTGATAATGGTCCAGCTACTGTTTTAATAGTGTGCTTGCTTGCATCTTTTTCAACTCAAAAACTCACAAGAACCCTATAAGGTGGCTATTATTACTCACATTTTATAAATGAAGAAACTAAGCAACAGAAAGATTAAGTAAATTTCCAAAAAGTTAAAAAAAAAAAAAAAAGGCAAAGAAAAAAAGGAGCTAGTAATTGGCAGAGCTACAATTAGCACTCTCTCTGGCTCTCAACCACATACTAAACTGCCTTAGGATAAGTATCTAGAGCAGTGCCTGCCACATAGGCACTCAATAACTATCTGTTGAGTGAATACTGTTCCATGCATAATGCCCAGCCAGCAGTGGAGATGCAAGTCCACAAGGGGTACTTTAATCCTTAAGCTCCATATATAACATTCTGAGTAATTAAAATTTTTTCTCTATATTAACAGTGGGGCAATTTACTGCAAAAGCTAGAAGAATTACTATAATGTTGATGTTTGCATTTAATCACTTTAGGCTTCCTCTCTGGGTCTTACAAGTCCAAATCATGTGGCAGGTAAATGAAGGCTTTCACCTGATCAGTACTCAGGTTTGATACCTGACAGGTAGCATGATTGATGAGGCAAACGCTTTGGTTTGCAAAGCAGTAGCTGGCCACATTTTGTATCTTTTATTTCATTCTGTTTTGACATGGCATTATGTCATTTTTAGAACACCAATAAACACAAGGTAATGTGTAAGAACAAAAATCCCGATAAAGGATAAAACACAGATATGACTGTATTAAAAATAACAATTAAAAAGGAGAGAAAAGTCCATTAGTCTGAATTTTAGCCCTGAGGAACAACTAGCTGAGTTTGCATGAGTCTCCAAAGCTTTCCTTTTTTTTTCTTTTTTTCTTTTTTTGTCAACATAGACAAGGCCAAGAGGATCTCTAGTGTGCAAAGTAATATCTGTTTTTTTTTCCCACTGCACTTTCCAAAACCAAATTCAGGTGTAGTGAGGCCAGTTATGCTACATGTGGACTTGGAATTAGACAATGCAAAGTGTCAAGAATGCTTTTAAGTGTCATAAAGGGAAGTGTCAAAGGGGAAAATAAGTAATTTTGTCCTGTGGTGATTTTAATGCTGGAAGAAGGAAAGCAAAGCATCAAGCACCTCCCTTGAATCTCAGGGCCTACTAACACATAAAGTTGGTAATATTCAAACATGTATTTATTTATTGAAGTTTATTTTTATTTATTTTTAAAATATAATTTTATTGATTTCAGAGAGGAATGGAAAGAGAGATAGAAGCATCAATGATGAGAATGCTCCTGCATGCTCCCTACTGGGGATCCAGACCGCAACCCGAGCATGTGCTCTGACCAGGAATTAAACAGTGAACTCCTTGTTTATAGATAGACATTCAACCACTGAACCACACTGGCCGGGCTATATTCATTGGATTTTAGAGCTTTATGACTAGAGCAGTGGTTCTCAACAAGGGCGATTTTGCCCCTACAGGACATTGGGTAATGCCTGGAGACACTTTTGATTGCCACAACTTGAGGTGGGAGTGCTACTGGCCAGGGATGCTGTTAAGTATCTAAAATGCACAGGACAGTGCCTAACAACAACTTTTCTGGCCCCAAATGCCAATGGTGCCCAGGCAGAGAAACCCTTGACTAGAGGAACAAACTTAGGCAGGCCCACAGTCTAGGCCCACAGAGGAAGTGGTACATAGAATGATTTACACTTTCTCAGAATACCCATTCAAAAAGGTTGGTACTAGTTATTTGCACCTGTTATCCAGGTAGACACACAGTCACACCGTCAAAATAGTTGAGAGAGACCAAGAATAGAAAAGGGAGCTTCTCAAAGACAGGATTGTGACCCTAATTAGGAAGAAACATCAGCAGTGGATGCTTCATGGGAACCTGACAGCCAAGGAAGTTTTCCTCCTGACTAGGATTGCTGCCTATGTGACTCCTGTACTGTGTAGCTGGGTGTTTGTTTGTTTGTTTGTTTGTTTTTTTGGGGAGGGTAGTAAGTTGTATTCTTATTCTATACTGAAGAAGCTCATATAGCCTTGGCATATAGGCAGGCATCTTTCCAACAATCATATCACCATCCCACTGTGACAATGGGCATTGTCACATAATAGAAAACTGTCCATTTATTTATATTTGCATGAAAATGATGTGGATTTCCTCTTCACATTTTCTCTTCTCAACTTCATCTAAGCTTTTAGGCATATATTATTCTTACATAATTTGTATTTCTTGGTAGTTATTTCATGTGAGTATTTGAATCTTCATCTCCTTTGGAATCCCCCTACACCTAGTATAAATCTGAGCACAAATGGTTGTTTTGCAGATTTTGAATGAACTACCAAGTAATATGCACATAAATGAAAGAGTAGAATAAAATCTACAATAAATATTGCTAGGGTGATATTCCACTGGGAAATATGAGCTGCTTGTACCACTCAGAAAAACAGATACACCTAACCTATAACACATAGTTATCTACAACAATTACTCTCAAAATATGATTGTAATATGGTATTGCTTAAATTTAATGTACAGTTCCTTGCTTGGTAGAAATGTAATAAGATTTGAAAAACCATTACATTTACTCTTTCTTATGCTCTATAAAGCAATTGATACAAAATGCTGGGCACTTAAGCCTCTCAGTATCAGTGCATCGATAGTACAAATGGATGGATTCTGGTTAAATATTGACTGTGTGCAAAATCAGAAAATATTAAGCAAGCTTAATTACCTGCTGTTTCTGTTTAATGCTGTGAACAAGCTGAGCACTTTAAACAACTCTAGTAGCTGGCTTCAATGGAGATGTATTCAACCATTGCTTGCAAACAACTAAATATTCAATGTACCTAAACAGCTATGTTTTGGGGAAATCTTCTCATGCTTTCACAAAAATTCTAATTTGCAAATATTAGGAAAATTTCATCAGAATCACGATAACTAACATTTAAAAAAGCCCTAGCCAGTTTCACTCAGTGGATAGAGTATCAGCCTGCGGACGGGGGGTCCCAGGTTCGATTCCTGTCTAGAGCACATACCTCGGTTGCAGGCTGGTCCCCAACCCTGGTTGGAGCATGTGTGGGAGGCAACCAATCGGTATGTCTCTCTCAGATCCATGCTTCTCTTTCTGTCTCTCCCCTCCTTTTCACTCTCTCTGAAAATCAATGAAAAAATGTCCTCAGTTGAGGATTAACAAACAAACATGCAAGGAAATAAGAACTTCCTGACCCTAATATGACCAAAAAATACTGGCCTCTTAAAAATACTCTACTATCACTTACCTGGGATGAAAAAGTACACACTAGGAAGTCTGCCTGGGAGAGAAAGTGTATATCCAGAATCACACCTCTAAGTGAATTTTCCGTGTATCGATTGTGCAGTCCAGCTGACCAAGAGATAGAGTTATCACTAATAAATTCATAACTGGGGTACCTGAAAAAGAAATAAATTGATACATAGTCACTGAAATCACAGTATCCTATCAGGAGGTAGTATCCTATCAGCAGGAGGCACACCTGCTCCTTTGATTAAGAGTTCCTCTCTTTCTAATAGCAAAGAATGCTTTAAAATGATAATATTCAAGAGAGTAGTCAATGTAGTCAATGAAGCTTTTTTGACTCCACTAGCGGGACAGAAACCACTCTGGAATACCCTTCATGTTAAATGTCATTGGCATGCCATAAAAAATACACACTGATGTATCAAAATGTCCTTTCTCAATTCATGAAAGAGTTGAAAACAGAAGGCTCCTATTTTCTTTGTAATGAGTGAGCTCTACGAGGTTTTACAAGCTGCTTTCATATTTGGTCACTGAATTTTCCTTTAGAATATAAATATCATGATTAAATTTCATTAAAAATTTTAATTTAGAATTTGTGATAATTCAGACTTATCCTCTAAACACCATCCTTGAAGCACCATCTTAACCAATAACAGTAATATAAACCATTCTAATACACTTAAGATGGCAAATTTCTTATAGATGTCCACCCAAGTAACATTTTAGTAGTCTTGAGATAAGATATTTAAAACTATTAAAACAGATTGTCTTTAAAAAGTCTACCACATGTTCAAATGATTCTATTCTGAATTAGAGATATAATTATACTCTAGTATAGAATGAATACATTTTCTCAGTGCCTGAGGTAGATCTTCAGAGTTAAAATGCCAACTTTGAGAAGTTACATGAAAAGGAGATAATAATTATACCTATTATACTTCATATATTTCATAAGCCTTAAGTAAATACACTAAGCAATATAAACTATTTAGAAGAGTATCTGACATGTGGCAAATGCTCAATACATATTGCTTATAACTTATTAAACATTTTCCCCAGACATCGATCTGGTTTTATTCCTTACTTCTTATAGATCTCTGCTCAAATATAGCCTTATTAGTATGAACTTTGGCAACTGGTATCCCTTTTACCTGCTTAATTTTTCTCCATGGCTCTTACTATCATTGCACATAACATATACACTGCTTATTTACTGCATGTATCCATTCATTCCCCCACCTCCACCATCCCTAACTGAAGAGAGGCATTCCATCTATTTCATTCACTCTATTATTCTTGGCACCTATAAGACAATCTGGGATGTAATAGAGGATCACTAAGTATTTGTTGAAAAATAATAATTCTTATTTATAAATCCTGAAATATTGTGAGTCACTTTACAGTCTGTCTCCACACAGTATTCCCCCCCAAATTAGGACTAAGCCTAATTTTTCTTTGCATCACAGCACGTAGCATTCCACACAACACCGTGAATAAATTCACAAACAAGGGAATGCTATCTGTGTCTGGGACTTTTTCTCAACCCCCTAACAGCTGCTTTGGATTTCACAGCCACCAGGGTGCTCTCTCTCTCATTGCCTCTGACGACGACTGTGAAGGCAAAGTCTCTGAGCACTGCTTCAGACTGGCGTTCAGTGTTTGGATCCATTTGGCCTCATTATTTCTGACATTTTGCCCTCCTCAGCTCCAAATCAGGGAGATGAAGGAACTGTCACATTTATTCTAAAAAGAAAACAACCAAAAAGACTTTTAATGCTATTCCTGCAAAGCTGCATACACCAGCATGGGGAAGAAACAGCGATAAATAAACATGAAAAGGCTGGAGGGTAGAGGAGAGGTTGAATTGCCAAAGCACGCCAGCAAAGGTTTTATCCTTGAATAAAGACCGATTTTGTCAGCATGGTTTGGGTGCTCAGTGAAACAAAAGAGTGATCCTTTCACTGAGAAGGGACACTAACATTAATGCCTTTTTAACTTAAAGGTCCCTCCCTGGAACCAAACCAAAAGGGTGCCTAAGTTCCTCAGGCCTTATCTCTATATGTAACCACTCGATGAAGGATACTGAGAGTAGAAAAACAAAGAAACACAGAGAAAAATTGGATGGAGAGTTTGTATCTCCAATAATGAGCATGGAACTTTCTGTACAAACATGTTTCTTTTTTGTCTCTTGTTCACAAACATGTCAGCAGAGCAATTCTCCGATTGTGAAGTTGCAGAGGTTGTCAAGGAAAAATATTTTTTCTTCTTCTACCTCATAAAAATTTATTTTTATATCACCAACAAAGCTAGCATCAAATTTTCTTTTCTGGAATCTTTCTCCAGACAGAAGACGACACTCCTCTTCATGACTCAGAAAATTAAACAATTTTTGAAGAGAAAAATATGCATAAAAGGCTATTACGTTTATCCTATCCTATATAATCCTATATAATAAAAGGGTAATATGCAAATTGACCCTAAAGGTGGAATGACCAGGAACAACCAGTTGCTATTATGTGCATTGACCACCAGGGGGCAGATGCTTAACTCAAGGTGCACTTCAGCCAGAAGCCGGCTCATGCCTGGCCAGTGCAGCGGTGGTGGTAGGAGCCTCTCCCACCTCCATGGGAGCACTAAAGATCCCCTGAGAGCTCCCGGGCTGACAGGGATATCTCACTGTGATAAATAAACATGAAAAGGCCCGATCCCCCAGGGAGAGGGCCTAAGCAGGCAGGTAGACATCCCCCGAGGGGTCCTGGAATGTGTGAGGACACAGGTCGAGCTGAGGGACCGCCCCTCCCAAGTGCACGAATTTTTGTGCAATGGGCCTCTAGTAATAGAATATGAAGGAATCTGCTGCCTAGACTGTAAGGGGGGAAAGGAGTTACTAGCTGCTGGCCACAAAAAGAAAATTCAAGTTTTACTACTGCCATAATCTAAGTACTGTCAACTGTAATACAGTATAAGGGTTGTTTGGTATAAAAATATAATATGGTATTATGGATCAAAGCTGTAGATTCTCAGATACTTTTATCTAAATACTTCCGAGTCCATAAATGTTGCTTAAGAAAATAATGAAGATAATTTTAGGTACATATCCTAACATTATTTATGAGATTAAAAAACTGTGGATAACCTAATTATCCAATATTAGGGGAATGGTCAAGTAAGCAATAGAATATCCATAGAGTCGCTATGTAGTTATTAAAAAATATATATTTATAATGATTTTTTAGTGACTTGAGAAAACTGATTTATTGCTGTATTAATAAAAAAAGATTTCAAATTATATAGAATGTAATAAACTACTAAAATAGTGTAACTATGTACATGACTGAATAGAATATGTCAAAATTGAAGCAGTTATTATCACTGAGTAATAGGATTTTGGGCATTATTTTTTCCTTGCTTGTATAATTACAACTTCCATATTTTCTAATGAGCATGAATTATTTTGTTAATCAAGGGAAAAATTTTTTAAAAAAGCTTATAATGTATTTGAGAACAAATAAAAGGATAGTTAAAATTATTTTTTAAATATTTTTTTCAACTAAGCTGTAAATTCAGTGTGGTATTTTAAAATGAAGGAGCATGGTGAACAATTTCTACTTCTCTCCAACAGGTTTAGATATCAAATTGGAAAAGTACTTGTGAAAACTTTCTACTGTATTTTGTGCCCAAACACTCATTTAATCTCTAATTCTTATGTAAGAATTATAGTTATATAACTTGGCTTATACTTGGCTGGTGAATTTCTTGATTCTTATTTATAAGTGTGTGTGTGTGTGTGTGTGTGTGTGTGTGTGTGTGTGTAGTCAATAGAGACAAGAAAAAAAGTCATTTATACCAGGTTAATCTGAATTCTTAGGAGGTAGAAATAAGATTTAAATTATTACCTAATGATTTGGAGAAACACCTGCGTTACAGTCCTCATTCTAAATTTTTCTTCCCAACCCCAATTTGTGACATAAAAAAGGGATTGAGAAATAAATAAATTAGTCAAATAGCTTCAATTATTAATAAAATGTTTTCAGACTGATGGAACTGAAGTAAACATAATTCAGAATCATCCCACAATGTTTGGTATCTGAGCAGAGCCATGACTATAGTTTTCTTCTCCCCATTCCCTACTTATACATATATTTAATGCATTCCATATTTATTGGTAGTAAATAAAGGCCAACACTAGGTTTGTCCAGATCCTATAATAAATTCCCAATTAGGATCAGTGCTTTATGTTTTCATAACACCCAATGTTAATTCTGTAATAGCACTACTCATTCTGTAGAGCAATTGTCTGCTCCCACCTAGAAGGGAAATTCCTTGAGAGTGCCCAGCACCTAGCACAGTGCCTGAAATCTAGACAAGTTCAATAAATGATGGTTACTCTTCCATACATATTAGTCCTTCTCCTGAACTTACAAAACTTACCTTTTGATTGTTTGTTTCTTTAATATAACTTCCAAATTCCAGAAATTTTTATAAAATGAAAACTTATATCTTATTTATGTTTTCAGTTGCCTGTAATTGTTAGTGAAAATATGAGAGCAAAACGGCAAAAGTACCTGTGTGTTTTATTGGTAAAGGTTAGTGTGATGGACTGAATATTTGTGTCCCTCCAGAATTCATGTGTAAGCCCTAACCCCCCCGTTGTGGATGGTATCTGGAGATATGGTTTTTGAGAGGTAATTAGGATTAAATAAGGGCATTAGGGCGGAATCCTCATAATGGAATTAGTGTCTTTATAAGAATAGACAATAGAAAGTTTGCTGTTTCTTATAAGCACACAAAGAGGTCACAGAGATGACGTTGCCTACAACCCAAGAAAAGAGGCTTCAGAATGAATGTAACTTTGCTGGCACCTCACAATTGTTTTGATGACATTGATAAGTTACACAAGTGCACAGTTATTGAATTAAAAAACCCCCAATAGTCAGTAGTAGTATAAAACAAGAATCACAATTCATGGGAATAAAGATACCTTTCAATTGAAAAGAGCCCCACTCTAGAATCACTACTTCATCTAACTTACTTAGTTTTTGCCTCCTTTAATAAAGAAGGGTCATCTGTGGCCAAATACACTCTTTTTTTATCCACTTGCATCCTGCGAGCGAGAAGCTTAAAATGTTCTTCAACGTGCACCATGTACTCCTCGATGGGATGGAAGGCAGCTTCTGTTCCCACCTTGTCTGTGCGTCTGACGTGGACTCTGGAGGCAGAGGGACAAAATCAGATTCTGCTGCTAATACTCTGACCCACTGGGTGCTCTTAGGGTACTCAACACCCCCCCCCCCCCAAATTCATGGCATTATGAACATTTAAAGCTGTCTTCCTTTCATTTTTTGCTATTGAAAAAATAAAGTAAGTATTAAAAACTTCAAACACATATATTGTAAGTATATTAACATAATACAAGGGGAATTTTAAAAAGCAAGTAAAGTCTTTAAAGAGTGCTTCCTTATAGAGAAAGTAATTGGCATATCAGGAATAAGTGGGAGGTTCCAGAGTTCTATCCCATACAAGGCTACAAAATGCCAATTAGCCTTCCAGAAAAAAAACTGGATATAACAAGATTTTTGACGACAGTTTTTCTTATAGAACATTAAATGTATTAAACGTTTTCATGCCAAGTTATCTTTTTCTTCATTTCACCCTGTTAGTCACTCAGTAACTGCCATTTTGTAGAATTTAAAGTCTCCTGAAGAAAACACAGACTTTGCATGCATTGTTCCTATGGCACAGTCAAAGCAGGCAAACCTTTGAAGGCTCCTTACTATTTTTAAGTTCATAGAGTTGTTCCAGCCCTTTTGTTGTAGGCATAATGAATTTCCTTTTCCTGTCTTTCACACTATCAAACACAAGCAGATACTGATCTAGCTTATCTGTTCTATTTAAAAAAAGCTCCAAAATTATAAAATTGGGGACACAGAGGTTTACACTATCTGCACTAAAGACTGCATTGACTTCCACAGTATTCTCTTCCCATCTTATTGCTTTCAAAGCGATTTTAATGAAAATAAGGACAACAGAAACCATAGCTTGTTTTCATAAATTAAACTCTCCTGAAATTTGCCTTTTCTGTATTCCTCCTCTCCCCAAATCATTACACCACTATTCATATGTGGGAAAAGGGGAAACCAAGACTTGTTTCCCTTTAGGTCAAGCAAAGGCCATCTTTTATTATGAATCTGGGTGAGGGTTTGATTTCATTGAAGTTACTCTGGCATCTTCATGGCTATTCTTTCCTTTGCCTTCCAGGCTATAGTCCAGATGCGAATACTATATTATATGAATATTTCTATCATCCTTTCCTTCCCACATCCTTCTTAATCACTGCTTCTCTCAGAAAATTGGAATTGTTCACTGTGCTCCAAAGAGACGAAGAGGGACTAAAAGAACAATTCCATTAAATTTCAGCGAAAATTTTCACGAGAAAAAACACTATTTGATACTGATTTCATCTTGTACTTTCTTTAGCTTTGAAAAAAATATATGTTTTTAATTATTTCAGAGAGAAAGGAAGAAGGAGAGATAGAAACAACAATGATGAGAGAGAATCATTGATCAGCTGCCTTATATACAGTTGATTGAGCCCACAACTTGAGCATGTGCCATGACTGGGATCGAAGGATGATCGCCTGGTTCATAGGTCCACATTCAACCACTAAACCACACCAGCTGGTCTCTTTAGCTTTAACATTTGGAATAGGGCCAGTAACTTCTATACATATGAAAACTAAGACAAAAGGGAAGAAGGAGGGGTGAGAGTTATGAAAATAAAAACAGAAACAAGGGAGAGATGTAACAGAAAGAAGAATCAAAGGAAGCGGAGTGTCTGAAGCAGTGGCAGAGTACTACCACTAGCAATCTTCTCAATCCACCAGTCCTCCTGAAATTAGGCCTGGACCAATATTTTGACGGAGGACTATAATGAAATCTCTACAGAAGAATCAGAATGTGAGACCTGTGAAGGATAGAAGTCATTTCATTTAGTGTAACTCTTTCACCTGACAGTTAAGGAAACTGATGCTTCTGAAGACATTCTGGTGAGCACATATAACACTAGGCATTTCACTCTAGCCAGCTTAGCTCAGTGGATAGAGCATTAGCCCGCGGACTGAAGGGTCCCAGATTCAATTCCAGCCAAGAGCACATGCCTGGTTTGCAGGCTCAATCCCCAGTAAGGGGCATGCAGGAGGCAGCCAATCAATGATCTTCTCTCATCATTGATGTTTCTATCTCTCTCCCTTTCTGCCTTCCTCTCTGAATTCAAGAAATAAATATTTTTTTTAAAAAAACAACATAAGGCATTTTAACCCAAGTCTTCACAAAAGTACAAGTTATTAGTGTACCTGACTGATTTTCACTATTAGATATTAATTTTTTTTATTTATTCACAATTCAACAAACAAAATGAATAAATGATAGGTAGATACAAAAATCTGTTTAGTATTATGTCAGTAAAAACAAATTCATTTAATCTAATGTTTTGTTTATAACAAATGAGGAATGGGTAACAATTAATGAAGGCCCATAATGAGTAAGTAAGTTGCCTAAAGTCACATAAATTTGTTAGTGGTGTACGCTAGATGGGATGCAGATTCCTAAGTCCTAGTGCACTCCTCTCTCATTACAGCATACCACCTCACTTGCAAATAACTTAGTTGTCTGTGCTACTTCAATTTTCTACACTTGGCCAACTCTCCATCTGATGGATGGTCTATGGAAAATTAATAAAGGTTGCTTTCTGGTATGTAAAACTACAGGATAGCCCAAGTTAAGAAGGTTCTGGAACTTTCGGCAGAGATTCTCTTTCCTTTCTTTTCTCACCTCTGAAATAATTATCTTTGCCCACTTCACAGGACTGTGTTACAGGATCAATGAGGTAATATAGTTGGAAGTATTCTGGTAATGTAAGTATTACAATGTTATCTTTCTCCATCTTTAAGATACAGTTCAAACACGGCAGCTGTGAAGCCTTTTCCGATCCAGACGGAAGTATGTTTCCCTTCCCTGACCTCTTTTAAGGCTTTTAATACTTCTCCTGTGGTATTTATCATGCTCTACCTCATATAATGTCAGTTATGTAAGTCTCTTATCCCACAGGCTAAAATGAACCAGGAGCCATTTGAAAAAAAATTAATCGCTGCTCCCCACAGTAGCAGGTATTCAATATATGCTTTGCAAATAAGTGAGTGAATCAGCAATCTAATAAAAGAGTAATATGCTAATTAGACAATGTCAACTGGACATCTATCGGTCATTGGGTCTTCCTTCCAGACAAAGCCACGGTGGTGGGAGCCAAGGCAGAGGCAATTAGGGGCCACCAGGCTGACAGGCAAAGGGAGTAGGGGCTAGCAGGCAGGCAGGCGAGTGGTTAGAAGCCAGCAGTCCCAGATTGTGAGAGGGATGTCTGACTGCCGGGGTCAGGCCTAAACCGACAGTTGGGCATCTCCCAAGGGGTTCTGGATTGGAGAGGGTGCAGACTAGGCTGAGGAAAAACACCCCCACCTGCACGAATTTCATGCACCAGGCCTCTGTATATTAATATTAATCAATAGCTTACTTTATCACAAACAGCATAAGTAACAGAATGCCATAGTCCAGTCCACAAGTCTATTTTCAGTATTAGTCTCTCTGAAAGGTAATAATATTTTACAGTGCATTTCCCCCCCAATCCTCTTTTAATCCTAATATTATCAAATTCATAATTTTAAGGGCAGGTATTTTAAGTTTAGTAGGAACTCTGTTTTACAGATGGGAAAATCAAAACACAATACTAATATTAGGTAAGTTGGCCCAGAAATAGAGAAAAGTCAGGACTATTACCCATGCCACCTAACTCCCAGTCCAGTATTCTTGCCATTGTGCAAAGAACATTTCCCATAGTGTGAAGTCTGGCATCAGGACCTATGAAAACTCATTTCCCCATAACTTTTTATTTGTGTGTATAGGGGTACACACTTGTCAGCAAATGCTCTTTTGGATATTTCTTACTCCAAGGATTTCCTGACATATCTCCGGTAACATAAGCACCATACTGAATTCATATACATATTGTAACTTCCAAGTGGGTCAAGATTCATTTTAAATAATAATTTTAGCATTACCTTACAGTACAAATAATATCCTTATTCTCAAAATAGCTTCCAGGACAGAAAAGAAAACAGAACATAAAAAAAGCAAAATAATCACCCGTGGCAATTCATGAAGCCTAAGAATAAGGTGAAATCGGAAAGCTATACATGTGACAGCTTCATCTCATGGCCTGTTTGGGTATGACATGATCATGTATAATATCCAAAATACTCCCAATAAAACGACACCTTGCTGGTTTCCCCTGGAGAGACAGCTAATTTCAGAAATATGGGCTTAATACATTTGTTAAGTAAATAAATAAAACAAGGGTGACAAAGTACGATGACTCAGCCATTCTAAGTAAACAAAGGAAGACTAATCTCCCTGGGGCCTTAGGTGAACTTTAGAACCCATTTTTTGAGTGGAGCAATGAAAATTAAACTATAGATTGTAAAGTTCCCAATATATGGTAAAGATATATATACCTGCTACTCCACATCCCTATATGAGGAACAAATCAGATTCTCACCCAATGACTGGATGTTTGAAGCCAAGCTTCTTGGTGGCCTCTTCTATCTCCTTTTCCAGCCAAGGTTGTGGGCGGATCAAGTATTTGACAAACTGCGACACCCACCACACTGCAGGGTCACCATGAACCCGAACAAGTCGATCTGCAAGGTCTTCTGGTACAGCCAGGGGTAAGTATGGAGGACGAGGATGAAGACTGTCCACAATGGGAAGCTCGACCACCTGAACATCTCTGTTGTTTATTTCACCTGAAAGAACATCAAAACATCATCATCACCACACTGCACTATTCATACAACTACTGCCATTTAACAAGAACTCACTTTGGGTGCTTTCATCTTCATAGCATCCCTAGAGGAGTGTAATTTTCACTTTACCAAGGAAGTTAAGTAACTTGCCCAACCTGTTAGTACTCAAGTGGCAGAGCTCAAGTTCACATTTGGGTTGGTGTGCCTCTCAAGTCCATATCTTTTCTTTTCTACCATAATATGCTGCCAAAGCAACACCTCCACACCAGATAAGAATGGTATCCAGAACTCAAAGCAGCTCATCAGAGAATAACCATATTGCCAGTTGACACAGCCACCCAGGCCAAGTTCTGTTTTTTTATAATTGTTGAGTTTTTTTTATAATTAGACATAAGTATTCTCAAAACTGCAGCTTTGAGAAAGTAGTGCAAATGGCTCTTGTACTACTTTCACGACAGAGCAAATGATTCTGAAGATATACAATTATAAGCCAAGGATATATATCTTTTTAAGAAAAAAATTAGATTATTATAAAGTCTTTTTTATTCTTTGGCCAAAATAGGCCTATTATATTCAAGATTATGATAACAATAGAATCTGTGTTTACCTGGATATTGATTTAAAGTTACAATAGAGATTACATACTAATTTATATAGATAGTGATTAGTTTCAGAATCCAACTTCTAATGTCATTAATATTACTGTTCTATCAATATTATAATGAATGAGAAGAACTGAAATGTGATAGCCAGCATTACTAAAGTTTAATTTAATGAGAAGAACTGAAAAGTAATAGCCAGCATTCCTAAAGTTTAATTTACATATTAAAGATCACATAATAATAACTAGAAGACACAAAGATACCAGGCAGAGAGATTTCATAAATATAAAATGTACTGAATTAAATTTTCATTAACAAAAAGTATTAACCTGAACATAAAAGATAACTCAAGTTAAGATGTTGTCAACCTATCTAATAAAAGAGTAATGTGCAAATTAACCATCACTCTGCTACACTCACAAGCCATGCTCACCAGCTAATCAGGATTGAGTATGCAAATTAACCCAACCAAGATGGCTGTGGCCACAGAGAGAGCAGAGGATCCTACCAGGAGGCAAGAATGATTTTCATGCCCTGGGCCTCTAATTATAATATGTATAATGAATTAGAATCACAGTTAACCATTAAACCATTAAAGAATGTACTTATAGAATCTTAGAATACATTTAAAATGTATTCACCAGAATAAATATACTGGGTTTCTCCGGCAATGAAAGAAGCCAAGTTTCCCATATACCCTAGCCGGCCCAGGTCTCCACTCAAGGCTACAAAGTTTCAATAATAGAAGATAAAAAAATCCCAACAAAAATGGTGGCAGCCACAGAGCTGGAGAAAGCAGGAGGCTTGGGTTGGTCCCGGCAATGGAGGAAGCCAAGCTCCTGCAGCCCTGGCCTGCCTTGGCCTCTGCTACAAAGTTTCAATTATAGAAGATAAATAAATCCCAGATACCAGGGCCTCTGCTTAGGTCACCGGGGGGCATGGCCGGCCTGCAAACCACCACAGGACCCTCGCCCAGGCCACCTCATGCCCCAAGGGAACCCCCACCCTGATCCAGGACGTCCTTCAGGGAAAACCAGCTGGCCCCCACCTATGCACCAGGCCTTTATCTCATCTAATAAGAGTAATATGCAAATTGACCATCACTCCAACACACAAAATGGCTGCCACCATGTGGACACAAGATGGCCAGCAGGGGAGGGCAGTTGGGAGGACCAGGCCTGCAAGGAAGGGCAGTTGGGGGTGATCAAGCCTGCAGGGGAGGACAGTTAGGGGTGGCCAGGTCTGCAGGGGAGGGTAGTTAGGGGCAAAAAGGCTGGCAGAGGAGCAGCTAGGAATCAATCTGGCTGACATGGAAGTGGTGAGGGGGTAATCAGGCTGGCAGGCAGAAGCGGTTAGGGGCAATCAGGAAGGCAGGCAGGCAAGCAGTTGGGAGCTAGTAGTCCTGGATTATGAGAGGAATGTCCGACTGCCCATTTAGGTCCGATCCTACTGGGAGGCAAGAACAATTTTCGTGCACTGGGTCTCTAATTATGTATAATGAATTAGAATCACAGTTAATCACTAAACTATTAAAGAATTTACTTACAGAGACTAATCCTAGAATACATTTAAAATGTATTCACCAGAAGAAATACAGAATCCTCAAATTCTGTTTTTCTGCATTATGCAGAATGTTTTAAAATATATTACATAATCTGGCAATGAAATCACTCAAACCAACTGTATAGTTATTAGAAAGTCGGTGATAATAACTAAGAATTAAAAACTTTTGGCTAATATTCTCTCTTTGATACGTACAACTCATTTCAGGATTCTTAGAACAAAGCCCTTGAAACAAGACATTTGTTGCAAAAAAAAAATGGCAATAAATAATTTTACCATCAGTATGGCAGTTCACCTAGAGTGCCAGTTAAGAAAAAGTTGGGCAAGTTTATTATATGGGAAACTGTAACTAAGCATGTGTAGGAACATTTTTAAAAAAATACATTTTATTGATTTTTTACAGAGAGGAAGAGAGAGGGATAGAGAGTTAGAAACATCAATGAGAGAGAATCATCGATCAGCTGCCTCTTGCACACCCACTACTGGGGATGTACCCACAACCAAGGTACATGCCCTTGACCGGAATCGAATCTGGGACTTTTCAGTCTGCAGGCCGATGGTCTATCCATTGAGCCAAACCACATTTTGAATTAAACTCTAATACTCTCCTGAAGGCCAAAAAAATTGGGGTACTTTCCCTGATGTGGAGATAAGAGAGTAATATATGAATCAGAAAAAAAATGAGGAAAGGAGAAAGGTAGTTCTTTTTATTAAAAAAAAAAAAAAAAAAAAAAAAAGTAAGACCCTAGCCTTTCATATATTACCATAAACAAAAGCAAAATTAGTAGAGGCTACCTTCCTTTTGTAATTTTCTTCTCAGTAAAGTTAAATTGCCTTTACATGACTGCCCCAGGCATCATTTCCTTACAGATAGCCTTATTGACAGCTTTCAGAAAGAAATGAAAACTACGCCTAGACCTTCAAAACAATTTTATTTTATTCTTTGTTCACTCATTCATTCAAATATTTTTTGAACACTACTATGTGGCAGACACTATACTAGGCAGAATATAGAGTGATGACTGGTTCTTGCCTCTATGATTTCCTGCTAAAAAAATCTCACCCAGAACTAGAATGCTTTCAAACATCATCACCAAAAATCATATTATCAAAAAGATATCAATTCACTGTTTAGTAAAATAATAAGAGAAAATGGTGTGTGTGTGTGTATATATATATATATATATATATATATATATATATATATATAAAACAATATATACACACACACAGGCATAGTATCAAAGTTCAGCTTCCTCAATAATGATGTGTTCCAAAATGAAAGTAAATAACAGTACATTTTCTATTAGAATGTCCCTTCTTTTACTTAGTTTACCACACAGCATTTTTTATCTTGAAATACACAAGTGAAACAATTTAAATTGGGAATAGATCCTATAGATAATCTTATTTAGTACTTCCTAAATTTTAGTCATTAAGTACCACCTTTATACAATAGTTTTTATCATATCCATGTATCATCTGCACTAATGTTTTAAAAATTCACTTTTTAAAACTTAAAATGAATTTATTTTATAGATGGTAACTATAAATATAACTTCACTAAAAACAAAACCATGTTATTAAAATAAATACATACATATTATTAAAGGGCACGGTGCTCAAGCCAGATTTCTATTTTAAAAAAGGAGGTTGTTAGTGAGATTTTAAGGGGTAATAATTGCTTTTCTCCTTACATCTCCTATGTCTAAATCTAAATGAGACATGAGGAGAGGAATAAAATGGCAATCAAAATGTATCAACCTGATTACCAATAAGATGAATTAGAGAATGTGGATTTTTTATTTTCCTTTTCATTCTATTTATGGTCTCATAGGTTTCCTAATAGTTCCTACCAAATCCTAAGCAAAATTTGTTAACCAAGCCCTACTTCACAGTGGAGGAGAAGGAATATGTGTTCTGAGAATGGGTCATGCCATGAGAGAAGCCAGTCACATTTGGCGCCTCTGCCCTAGCTCACCAGTTGTATAGCATGTTACTTCCACTGCAAGTGGAAGGGAAATGAGGCAATCACAAAGAGCAAATAAGCATGTCTGTACTTTCCCTTCTAAGAAATGGAATTTACTTCCCACATATGGAAATTCATGTGAAATGAAGGATTTACAGTACCTCTCCCCATCCACCTCTGTCCCCAAAGAATTATCCAGCGTTAAGGAACTATTATACTACATGTATCGTGATACCAAATTGAGACTTTGTCTCTGACATACTAATCAATAAGACTGAAAAGGGATAACTTTCTCAACTGTGATTCAATATTTATTTTAGTACTTTATCAGGAAACTGCCTGAAATTATCTCACATGCCACCTAAAATAATCTGTAGTAATCTGTTATAAGTTTCAGAGTTTGGAAAACATAGATTTATTTAAACTCCCTCATTTTACAGAGGAAATAGACAAAGAGGCTAAATGAACTTCTCAAAGATAATACTAGTACAGCTAATAACTGGGCTAGCATCAGACACTAGAGCTAACTTCATTACTTAACATTATATTCTGCTTTCTGGAACACACACACACACACACACACACACACTCACACACACAGTTGTCATAAATCATATAATATTATATATGTATTTTTAAAATCACTTAAGTATGGCCCGTTTGATCAATCAAGAGTGCCCTGCTTCTCTTAAGACTTTACTGTTAAAAATAGTATTATATCAACCTTCCAGCAAGAGACTGATTTATATATATAAGACATGCACAAGTAAGTCATACACTATTCATTAGTAAAGAATCAGTGCAAAGTAGCCTGGCCATTACAAAATTGAGTGCCCAGTTCAACTGGAACAGACATGATCATTATT